GGGGAGGGGGGGGAGGGCAGGAGCGCGGGCGGGGCGCAGGCGGCGCCGCCGAGCCTGCGGCGTTTGGACAGTTTCCAATCGCACCTTCACGGCCGCGGCCGCGTCCACAACGCTCGCGTGTGCCCCGGGCTTCGACCGGGCCGCACGCCGCCCGCCCCTGCGCCGGCTCGCCCACGTGGCGGCCCCGAGCGGCGGCCGCACCGCGGGCCACCGCCCCGACCCTGACCTGTCACCACGCCGCCCGCTGACGGACGCCTCGAAACCGCGCCGCTCGCCGTGCCGCCGCGCAGCTGCTCAACTCGCGCGCGGGGATGGAGGGCACCATCGAGTACTGCGCCCCGGAGGTGCTGAGGGGGGAGCCTTTCTCGGAGAAGGCCGACGGTGAGGAGACGCCACCCAACCACCCACCCTTCAAGCACGGTCTGCTCGGCCGCGCTCAGCTTGCTGCCGGGCCCTCTGCACAAGGGCTCGAGCTCCAGAAAGTTTGAGGGGGCCGCATGCTCAGGTTTCAAAGGTTTTAGGGCCTTCTTCCCGATTCGTTGTGCAGCAGTCGCGGCAGATGCATGGCGCCTGCGAATGCGGTTACCCCGCACTACGCGGCTTCTCCGACCCGACCCGACCGCCCCTCAAACCCTGCCGCCGCGCAGTGTACTCTTTCGGGGTCTGCCTGTGGGAGCTCCTGACCCGGCGCCGCCCCTACTCCGACCTTGATATACCCATATACCTGTTGATCCTGAACATCGGCAACGGCAGCCTCCGCCTGCCGCCCGTTCCCGAGGCGGCGACGCCGCCCGCGCTGCGGCAGCTGGTCGCTGACTGCCTGTCTTCCGCCGCCGCCGCACGGCCGGCGTTCCTGGAGGTGTTGGTGGTTCTGGAGGCGGAGCACCGGGCGGCGCGCGCCGGGGAGAGGGAGAGGGCGGCCGCGGCGGCGGCGGCGGCGGCGGCGGCGGGCGCCGGGGCGGAGGTGGGCGCCGGGGCGGCGGTGCAGCCGGCGCAGGGGCAGGGACGTGAGCAGCAGCAGCAGCAGCAGCAGCAGCAGCAGCAGCAGCAGCAGCAGCAGCAGCAGCAGCAGCAGCAGCAGCGGCAGGTGTCCTTTGGTGGGACCGGCCAAGCGAGCAGCTTCCCGCAGCCACAACCGCGGCAGGACGGCGGCGGGGGCGACGGCGGGGCGCCGGCGATGACCTCACAGCACCAGCGCGCGGTCGCGGCGGCCGCAGCGGCCGCGGCAGCTGCGCGGCGGCGGCGGGCGCTGGCGCGAGCGCGGTCGGCGCCCGACCTGGTGGCTAAGGGGGCGCTCAGCCACGACAGCGAAGAGGAGGAGGCCGAATCGGAAGACGAGGGGACGCGGGCCGCCGGCGGCGGCGACGTGATGCCGCTGCTGACAGGGCACGCGGTGGCGAGCCTGGCAGCGGCAGCCAGCAACATCAGCGGCGGCGGCGCCAGCTGCGGCCGCGGCCTTTGCCCTTGGGACGGCCAGCGCGCGCGGCGAGCCACGGGAGACCCGGCCGCCGGGCGCCACACGGCACCCGCGCAGCAGCAGCCAAGCGATGCGTGGTCGCAGGCGGGTGGCGACGTGGGGGAGGAGTTTGCCGAGCGTGCGCAGGAGCGGCCGCGGCGGCGGCCGGCGGCGCGGCGAGAGCAGCAAGAGCAGCAAGAGGAGCAGCGTGCGCCATGGAGCGAGATGGCCGCGATGATCGGCGCTGCCGCGGTCGTCGCGGCGGCCGCCTCGCCGCAGCGGCTGCCG